GGGGCCCCCTGGGCGCACCCCTGTCCCGCGGACCCGCTGGGCGGTGTCCCGAGGCGTCCCGCTACCTGAGACCCGCAAAACCCCGGTAGGAACACAGGAGGGAGACCAAAGCACGTTCCCTAGGGTTCCACTGGAGAACTCGAGTGCGGCGTGCGCGTGGAAACCCACCCGAGCCGCCCCGTCCCCAGCCCGGAAGCCAGTCTGACGCCTGGCTCCCGTCGCTCCCGTTCCCCTGGCGCAAGGCGTGCACACCTCCTCCCTGAAGCCCTCAGTTCCTCCTCGAAATAGCTTGTTTATTGAAACATCCCGTGTCGCCCACCACACCGGCCACAGCACCCTGGCCCGCCTGTCCCCACACTGGCCGCTTACACTGGCCTGCAAAGCTCGCCTCCTGGGCCGCCTCCCCCGACAGCCCGGTGGGGGGGGGGCGCCTCCCCACCTGTCCCGTTTGTCCGCCTCCGGGGGCCCCACGGGCCACCGGCTCTCACCCCGCGGTCCACTCGGCGTCTGCCCCGCTCCCTGGCCCATAAGCCCTCGTTTAGCAGACGGGCAGGTGCACACGTTTTCTGTTCGTTTCTTTTTTTATGGACAAAATTTGTCCATATATATCTTTTTAAAGATTTTATTTATTACTAGAGAGAGGGGAAGGGAGGGAGAAAGAGAGGGACAGACACCGTGATGTGCGAGCATGATCTGTTACCTCTCGTCCTCGCCCTGGGACGGACACCCAGGCCTGTGCTTCGACCAGGAATCCACCCGCGACCTTCCCGTGCGCAGGCTGGCGCTCAATCCGCTGAGCCCCCCTGGCCGGGGCCGGACCCCACATGCTTTTTGATCAACTTTCCCCGGAGAAAAACCCAAACGCCCCGTTTGGAGGTTACTTAGAGTTAGGCGGTTTTGCAGGTCACCTGGCTACGCTGTCACCCCCAAAACAGCTGTCCCTTGCCGCTGCTGGCATTGCTGGCGGCTCGGGCTCCGTGTCTGCCTGCCCCTCGTGTCTGCAGCCACATGGAAGATTCCACGGGCAGCGGCCGCTTAAACGGCTGGCATCGCGCAGCACTTCGCGGGCGGCGTGCTAAGTGGCGGGCGGTCAGCAGAGCACCGAGCCAGCGCCCGGTGAGCGCCCCTGGGCTGGATGGTGCAGGCCGCTGGCAGCCTGGGAGTGGCCGCCGCGCGCTCCGAAGCCAGCGCCGCACCTTCCCTGGGCTTTCCTGCGGCGAGAAGTCCTTCCTGGGCTTGCACGATCCCTTCGCCTGGCTGTGAAGTTTCCAGAAGTTCCGCCTGGACTCTGTTTTTCCTTCCTGCCTCCTCCTCCCCGGGTCCTGAGCCTGGGCTTTCTCTCGTCCACAGTTTCCACCCGGCGGGCTGCAAGAAGTTTTAAAACGTGCAACTTGACAGGCAAGGGCGCCGCCCTCTTTTCCCTTAGATTGTCCGATAAAATAAATGGCAACAGCCAGCGTCAACAATAACCAGCGGGCGTGAATGAATCATAATAAAATTATACCTGTTTTTTGTCAGATTGGCAAAAAAAGTAATTTTTTTTGGCTTGCCACAGAACAGTGGTTAGTCGTTGGTTTCTGTGCGCCGTGAGGTGAGAGGCAGGTTGAAACCGCTGCTCTGGGGAAGGCCTTGGGCGCGGCCGCCCTCCAGGCCGCGTCCTTCCAGCCTCACTGCTCCAAAGGAAGGGACCCGAGCCCTGGCTGCGGGGCGCGGGGCCCTGAGCAGCACCCCACTCCGAACGTGGGTTAGCCACTCGTCCCCGGCGGGGGAGGGATGGTGGGCGGCCAGATGTTTTCTGCAGTCAGTTTTGTAGTGGGATGGAGGGGCCCTAGCGTTTCCAGTCCATCGCAGGGACAGAGGCGGAACGCTTCTGTGTTCGCTTTGAACTAAAAACACAGCCAAGCTGTTCAGTCTGCAGGAGGGCGGGCATATAAACGCTCGCTCACGGCTGGCACTCGCACTCACGGAACGCAGCCCGCGGCAGCCGCTCCGTTTGGGAAGACAGAGAGAAGCCGCGCTGCCAGCAGGGCCGCCCCGGGGGCTCCTCGCTGCAGCCCCGGCAGGTGGGCGCGAGCCCCACGCGGGAGAGAAGATGAGGGTGTGGGGGCTGCTGTGGCTTAGAAGCGCTTCGCCCTGGGGAGCCGACCTCTCTTACAACAGCTACCTAAGTTGATTAGATCTCTGCACCCAGAGAAAAGAGCCTAAACGTGCGGCTTCCTGACAGGTGTCTGGAGAGAGCGCATCCCTGTCAGGCCAGGAGCGATTCCCACTCACAGGGCGTTTGTGATAGAATGTGACTTTATAGCAGTTGACATCCCACCTCCATCAGCTTTCTAGAACAAGGCAGAGAGTCAAGCGAAAGTGATAGTTTGTCAGTAGGGGGAAAAATGGGCTTGTTAAACCTTTATTCAGAGTCAAGATCTTCAGGTGTGTGGTGCCCCGGCTCAAACGTTTTCCCAGTGGGGGTTGGGTCCAAAAAGTGTGGACTCTTGTCCCAGAGAAGCGTAGTTTCTCCTGGTTTACAGCAGAGATACTTGTCTTTGCTGAAGTATAATACAGCTACAAAGTGTCTGTGAGATCCTTTCACCTTTGTGGGCTTGTTTTCAATCTGGAGGTGTTGCTCTGGAAGGGAGACAGTTACTTGAGACTAGCTGCCAAGCAAATTGTTATCTTATTTTTTATTTCTTGCAGTGATTACATGCCCCTGAATCAAACTAAAGTGTTTCTAATCATTTTTTTGGGGGGGGGTTATGTTTTAGATGAGTATTACATTAGTTATTACACCAGGAACGTTTTTAAACATTTTATTGTGAAAAACGTCAAACACATAAAAGTTGAAAAAGTTCTAAAGTAAAATTCCTTTGGTCATCAAGGTTCTACCATGAACTTTTTCGGGGTCATTGTCCTCTGTTTGTTGAAATTCCTTTAACTGTTCCCGCTACTCCCCACGCAAACTGATGTATTGGGTTTGGAAATGTTTGCCCATGAGACATTCCGTCTTAGTCCAATGTTTGAAAAAGATCGATTTTGAAAAGTAAAGTTTAAACATTTAAACTTTTCCTTTAACATTTTAAAAATATTACCTGTGTTGGGGTGACATGCCCTAATAAAGTTACATAGGTTTCAAGAGCACAATTCTGTAATACATATATGGCGCTGTGTTCTGACCACCCAAAGTCAAACCTCCTTCCATCACCATTTATTTGACCTCTTTTACTCTTTTCTACCCGCCCCCCTCACCTCTGCTAACCACCACATTGTCCTCTGTGTCTTTTTGTTTCTTCACTTATTGCCACTGTTAACATATGATTACACTGTTGCCTCACCTGCCCATCTCTCTGCCCACCTCCTGCAGGACCATGGGATCGTTACCAGGATTGTTACTAGTGTTACTCACTGGCTCCAGCATCTCCCGACCTCGCCCCTCTGCGCTGCCCCTTCTCTGCCCTCTCTCTAAAACATAAACCTTACATTGTAACTTCTGCTGGAAACCCTCGGCTACTCCCTCTGGCTTCAGAAAAAACGCCCTCGGGCCCTTGCACACCTTCCCAGCTTAGGGCCAGGGGGCACCGTCCTTGTTGGCCACTCCAGCGGCCGCAGGCGCAGCTTCCGGTCGTCAGTCGCACAAGTCACCTGGCACCTCTGCGCCTTTGCCAGCCTGAGATGACCCTTCCCTCTCCCCAGCACCCCACACTCGCTGTTATGGAACCAATGTTGGCAGCTGGTGTGTATTTGAAGATCCAGTTACATTCACCTTCTGCCCTGCTCCCAGCTGCCAACAACTCAGGTCTCCTCTGGACGCCGGATCCCAAGGAGCTCTCAGTCTTTCGAAGTCACTGTCTTGTCCCCCCGATACCCTTACTTCATGTCGCTGATGAGTGTCTTGTTTTATGACCTTGTCGCTACTCAGAAAGGAAAACTCTGGCTCTTATTTAAACCCTGGCACCCACCAGCAGGAGTGGATAAAAAAGCTGCAATGCATTCACGCCATGGAATACTACTCAACCGTGAGAAAGGAGGACATTTTACTCTCCGCGACAGCGTGGATGGACCTGGAGAGCATTATGCGAAGCGAGAAAGACAGCTACTGTATGATTTCACTCCTATGTGGCATCTAATGAACAAACCGAACTAACAAGCAACACAGAGACAGGCTCAGAGAGAGCGAGCAGGATGACGGTTATGGAGCGGGGTGGAGGGGTTGAGCAAAAACTGGAAAAAAAGAAAAAAACCCCTCAGGAACACGGACAACCAACAGTGCGGTGATTGCCGTGGAAGTGGGTGTACCGGCCATAAATGGTGATGGACCCAGGCTTGGCTTGGGGAGGTGAGCACACAATACAGTGTACAGGTGATGTGTTGTGGAATCGTGCACCTGAAGCCTGTATAATTTTCGTTAAGCACGGTCACCCCAATAAACTCAATAAAAAGGAAAAAATAAACTCCGCGGACAGAGTCTCAGGGCGGCACTGAGAGGCTGCCCGGCTGCCCCGGGCCCGCGCACCTGCCCCGCAGCGTACACCTGCCCGCCGCCGACCCGGGCAGTGCGCATGCGCGGCCGCGCTCGCCTGGCGGCCGCCCGGGCGCGCGCTCCCTTCTCTCGTCAGTCCCGGCCGCAGGTGCTCCGCCCCGGCTGCCCACCTCACTATCCAAACAGAGACGCTAAAGTCGGACCCTACGCGGAACGCGCGGGACACTCGCTCCCACTGTCAACGGGAGATCCGCCGACCGTAAAGCGCGGCGCCAGCTGCTGCAAAGCGCTTACGACAGACAGAGCCGGGGACCAAAGAACGGCCGCAGCCGCTCCCGCCTCCACTTTAAACGTTTGGGTGTGTGGAGTCGGGCAGGGTGGCCGCCTGCTTGTTTCCCTCCCGCACTCGGCCCCGGCCCCTCAGAGGAGGCTCGGAGGCGCGGCGTCCCCCTGAGGGGCGGGCCCGGCGGCGGCGGCCCCGCCTCCCGGCCGCCATCATCCCGACGTGCACCGCGGCGGCGGCGGCGGCGGCGGCGAGGCGGCGGCCATGTTGCGGTAGTTTGTTGTTTTCCTGCGGAGGAGCAGGTCTGAGTGGCCGCGATCCGCCGCCTCGCTCGCCGCGTCCCCCGTCGTGGCCCGCCGCCCGCTGGCCCCTAGCTGGCGCGGCGCGACGAGGCTGAAGCCGGGCGGAGCAGCAGCATGGCGGCCGCGCTGGGAGCGGGCGGAGGAGCCGGCGCCGCAGGTACGTGAGCCGCCGGGCCCCGCTGCCGCCGCGCCCCGGCCGCGTCCCCGTGCGCGACCGCGGGCCCCGCCGCTGAAGCGTCCGCCCGGACCGCAGGCCCCGTGAGCGGTGCTGGCGAGGAGCGGGCCGCGCTGCCCCGGGGAGGGCGCGGGTGGTCGCCGCGGGGTGGGGGTCGCTGACGCGTCGGGGTGGGTGTGAAGCCCAGAATGAAAAGCCCACGCTCGGGAGGGGACCCGGTGACACGGCAGCGTTGCCGAGAGGTCATCTCAGCCGGCCGTGCTTCCACGTGACCTCCGCGATCGCCTGGTGAAGACCCGTTAGCGGGTCCCGTCGGCGTCCCTCCCGCAGGTGCCGAGGATGGGGCCGCCTCCCCGGGGCTCTCGCCTCGGTGGCCGAGCGGAAGTGATTTTGATGGGACGCCCGACTCGGCCGGTCCAGAAAGTCACCTTCTGGCGAAATCACGTTGTTCTGACGAAGGCTTTTTACTTTATTTTATTTTTTAATACGTAAGATGACTTCAAAGTGACTTTGAGCGCTAGTGTCAAGTTTGACGGAGGCGGCGCGGAGGGGAGCCTCCGCGGGGAGCGGTCGTCATGGAAACGGGGGGGCCCACGCGTGTCGGGCCCCGGGCCTGCCGGGGGCCGGGTCGGCGGCCTGGATCGCCGGCCGAAGTGTCACCACCTTTGTGCAGAGACGGTGGCCGAGACGGCGCGTCGTGGACGGGCGGCCGTGTGTCACGGGGATGTCAGGTCGTGTTTCGTTTCCCTGTTCGATCTTTCGAGGTTTTCGAGGTATAACCTGGGACACAGGGTTTGCCTTCCTTAGTGGCTTCCGGGGGGGGGGGGTCAGCGCGGTGGGCTTTTCTTTTCTTTTTAAATTTTTATTTTTTTGTCATTCTCACACTTTGGCGTGGGAGCCCCTGGGTCCCCACGGGTTTCTTTGTTCTTTTTTGGGGGGGAGGGGAACACGGGGAGAGACAGTCGGTGGGCGGCCCTGCGCATGCCCAGCAGGGCCCAGCCCTGCGCCTGCCCGGAGTGGGGGTGGGGATGGGGGTGGGGGCGGGGCTCCCGTGGCCTGTGTGGCGGGGACACCCATGGGCTATGCCACGCCACGGGGCAGTCACGGCCAGGGCGGGGTGTGCGCCCTGTGTTTTGACGGTGGTTTTCACTTGCTGGCCTGCCCGGCGCAGTCACTGGGCAGCGGGGATTCGGAGAGGCCATGACCAGCGGCTCTGGGGCGCGGCCTGGCGCCCACGCGCTCCTGAGTGTTGCCCACGGAAAGAGGAGCCCGGTGGTGTCCCCGGCCCCCCCGAGCCCGGAGAGCTCGGGCTCCTTTAGGTTCTCTGACTCGTCCCGCCGCTCGAGCTTTCGTTCTGCGTCTAGTGAGTCCGCCGCCTACTTCCGTCCCTTCATCCCTCCGTCCGCTGGCTCCCTGCTCTTCTCCCGACGCCCACTCCAGTTTGCGCCGTTATTTAGTTACTGCTCTCCTGGCATCACCGCGCACCCCGGGGTCTGTCGCCCCAGAGGGCCGCAGTGCGGCCTACGGTTGGCGCACGCGTTCCGTGGCCCAGTGGGGGCGTCTGCTGAACAAGCTTTGGCCCCGAGGCGCCTCCTTGCGCCCCCTCGTTGGTCCGTTCTGGGCAGATGCCAGCGGCCCCTGGAAGCTGGGTGGCTTCTGACACTGACAGGCAGCAAGGTGGCCCTCGTGGCCTTTGTTCACTGGCAGGTCCCGGAGCTTCCGGGTCTGCAGAGGTGGGGGGGGCGGGGGGTTGGGACCCGCTCTTGCAGGTCTAGGCCTTCCGCTCTTGCTGCCCTGCTAGGCCTTCCGGTCTTTGTATCCCGCTCGGCCTTCCGCTCTCGCTGCACCGCTAGGCCTTCCGCTCTTGCTGCACATTAGGCCTTCCGGTCATGGTGCCCCGCTGGGCCTTCCGTTCTTGCTGCAACTCTAGGCCTTCCGCTCGTGCTGCAACTCTAGGCCTTCCGGTCTTGCTGCATGTCTAGGCCTTCTGCTCTTGCTGCACCTCTAGGCCTTCCGGTCTTGGTACCCCGCTGGGCCTTACGTTCTTGCTCCAAGTCTAGGCCTTCCGCTCTTGCTGCACGTCTAGGCCTTCCGGTCTTGCTGCACGTCTAGGCCTTCCGGTCTTGCTGCACCTCTAGGCCTTCCGCTCTTGCTGCACCTCTAGGCCTTCCGGTCTTGGTACCCCGCTGGGCCTTCCGCTTTTGCTGCACCTCTAGGCCTTCCGGTCATGGTGCCCCACTGGGCCTTCCGCTCTTGCTGCATGTCTAGGCCTTCCGGTCATGGTGCCCTGCTGGGCCTTCCGCTCTTGCTGCACCTCTAGGCCTTCCGGTCTTGCTGCATGTCTAGGCCTTCCGCTCTTGCTGCACCTCTAGGCCTTCCGCTCTTGCTGCACCTCTAGGCCTTCCGGTCTTGGTACCCCGCTGGGCCTTCCGTTCTTGCTGCAAGTCTAGGCCTTCCGGTCATGGTGCCCCGCTGGGCCTTCCTCTCTTGCTGCATGTCTAGGCCTTCCGCTCTTGCTGCACCTCTAGGCCTTCCGGTCATGGTACCCCGCTGGGCCTTCCGCTCTTGCTGTACCTCTAGGCCTTCCGGTCATGGTGCCCCGCTGGGCCTTCCGCTCTTGCTGCACGTCTAGGCCTTCCGGTCTTGCTGCACGTCTAGGCCTTCCGCTCTTGCTGCACCTCTAGGCCTTCCGCTCTTGCTGCACCTCTAGGCCTTCCGGTCTTGGTACCCCGCTGGGCCTTCCGCTTTTGCTGCACCTCTAGGCCTTCCGGTCATGGTGCCCCACTGGGCCTTCCGCTCTTGCTGCACGTCTAGGCCTTCCGCTCTTGCTGCACGTCTAGGCCTTCCGCTCTTGCTGCACGTCTAGGCCTTCCGCTCTTGCTGCACTCTAGCCTTCCCTCTTCTACCTTCCGCTCTTGCTGCACGTCTAGGCCTTCCGTTCTTGCTGCACCTCTAGGCCTTCCGGTCTTGGTACCCCGCTGGGCCTTCCGGTCTTGCTGCATGTCTAGGCCTTCCGCTCTTGCTGCACGTCTAGGCCTTCCGCTCTTGCTGCACCCGGCCTTCGGCGTCTGGGCCTTCCGGTCTTGCTGCACGTCTAGGCCTTCCGCTCTTGCTGCACGTCTAGGCCTTCCGCTCTTGCTGCACGTCTAGGCCTTCCGCTCTTGCTGCACGTCTAGGCCTTCTGCTCTTGCTGCGCGTCCAGGCCTTCTGCCCTTGCTGCACTACTGGGCCTTCCGTCTGGGCCTTATGGGTCTGTCACTTCCGTGGAAAAGGCGGCCCCCTACACCTGCCGCCAGGCCTTAGCACACAGTTCCCAGCGGACGGATGCCACGCCAAGCGGAAAGACTGCGTTAGGCGTTACGTGTGTTACAGCTTTGACAGGCATTGTCCTGTTGTCCTCAAAAGGACTGGTAGCACTCGAGCTTCTTCATCGGTGATGTGTGAGGGTGCGCCACTTACCAAACACTTCCTAACGTGTTTAAAATGTTTGTAAAAAACGTCTTATTTATTTTTAGAGTGAGGGGGAGGGAGGGAGAAAGAAGCAGAGAAACAACAATCAGTTGCCCCTCGTGCCCCCAACCGGGGACCTGGCCGGCAACCCGGATCTTTGCCCTGACCAGAAACTGGCCCAGCCCACTGAGCCTGCCCATCAGGGTGGGTGGGATCTTAAATATTTTTGATGATCTTGAGACAGAGAGAGACTCATTGTTGTAATATGCTGTTTTCCCGGTTTCTAGTGAAATTAAATATCTTTTCATACAATGTATTTCTTTTTCTGCCTGCTTATATTATTTTTCTTTTATTGAGTGGCTGATCGCTTTTTCATTTTAAATAATTCTTTAAATATTTTTAATATTTTTTTTTTGGAATGGTGTTGCCATGCCAAGAGTTCCTCTATGCTTTCATATTTTATGCTCCTTTGTATTTATTTTTAAGCTATTTTTAGTTTTTATTCTATATGGGATTTTACTTTGGGTAATGGTGCGAATTTGGCGCTTCTCACAGTTCTAGTATGATTTCCTGAATTCTCCATCTTCTCCATCTTTACAATAAGTTCCCATTTTAAAAAATTATAGCTTCATTGTGTATATGTTGAATAAGCAGCATTTTTTAAATGAAGTTTTTTGATTAGGCTTGTGCATTTAAAAAAAATGAACTTCAGAATCATTATTCATGTTCCATAAAGAATTCTACTGAAACTTGTATTGGGATCACATTGGGTTTATTAACATAATTTGGGAATGATTGGCATTTTTACCATATGGGTTCTTCCGCCCAGCAGTAGGAATGTGTCAGGGTTTCCCTTTTTTGTCTGGCCCCTCGGTCACCTGCCAACTGTTTCCTGATGCCCGCTCTGTGCTGGGCGCTGACCTGAGAGGTCAGGTGCCTGCGGAGCGGGGCAGGCGGGGGTGGGGGGTCCCTGCCCCAGTGGGACTTGCGTTAGTGCGGTTTCCTTTTTATGGGCCTCTCAGTTTTTTGTTCTTTTCAGTCTTAGGTGGTACACATTTGTTTTCATTGTCAAACAGGGTATAGTTTTGTTTATTCTCAAATTTGTTACTGATGTATAGAAAAGTTTGGGGTTTTTTTTTGTTTGTTTGTTTTGGGTGATTGAGTTATGTGTAGCTAGCATACTGAGATCTTGTTCTAATAGCTGGGTGCTTTAGATTTTCTAGTTAGACAGTCCCGTCTGCAGCCTCTTCTCTGACGTTTATATTTCATTTCTTCTCTTGCGCATCTTGTCCTAGAAGCAGTCATGGTCCAGTCCTCCCGTGTAAGGTTGAATAGCAGGGATGGCGGCAGGTGTCTTCGGTCACCTTCTCCTGAGTTTAATGAGTCTCCTTTAAATCTTTTGCTGTTGAGTGTAGTGTTTCTGTGGGTTTTTGATACTTCTGGTTCGCTAAGGAAGTTTTTATTTTTACCCTCGCCTAAGGACATTTTTTTCCCCGTTACTTTTAGAGAGAGAGAGGGAGGGGGGAGAGAAA